TTTTTCTTCTAGCTACTCCCTTTGGGGGTCACCACAGTGGAATATCTGCCTCAACTTCACTCTATCCCTAGCATTCTCCTTTGTCACACCAACCCTGTGCATGGCTATATGATGATAAATGACAATACCTAAGTGGAACAGAATAAACAAAACTAAAATCTGCTTTTTTCCACCTAACAGGGGAAATTCATCCGTATTCACTTTGACAACCGAGGAAAGCTGGCCTCTGCTGACATTGAAACTTGTAAGTAACTGTGTTTATGTGGAAAATTAGTAGTAGTAGTTAAGTAGACTTAACTATTACATGCAACTTATCTGTATACCAGATAAGTTACAAATAATTGATTTCTCTTATAGACCTTCTAGAAAAGTCTCGTGTGACCTTCCAGCTCAAAGCTGAGAGGGACTACCACATTTTCTACCAGATCCTGTCTCAGATAAAGCCTGAACTTCTGGGTACACAGTCATTAACCTTAAGAACTATCACTATATGGAAAACAGCTAGACATTTTGTAATTTTATATTTTTCTATCTCCTTAGAAATGCTGCTCATCACCAACAACCCTTATGACTACGCCTTCATCTCCCAAGGAGAGACAACAGTAGCCTCTATCAATGATTCTGAAGAGCTGATGGCCACTGATGTGAGTTGAATCTTAGATGCACTGCAGCAATTTTAGTCCAAAATTCATTTAATAAAACAAAAAAGAAATTAGTAAAATTAATGTTTTTGATTTTCATCAGCAAGCCTTTGATGTTCTGGGCTTCACTCAAGAAGAGAAGAACAGTATTTACAAGCTTACTGGTGCAATCATGCACTATGGCAACATGAAGTTTAAACAGAAGCAGAGAGAAGAGCAGGCAGAGGCCGATGGTACTGAAGGTGAGAGAAGACTATTGACAAACTACAGTCAGTGAGCATCTCTGTGGGCACTGATGACTTTAAATCAAAACTGCTATTTTGCCACAGATGCTGACAAAGCAGCTTATCTGATGGGCCTGAACTCTGCTGACCTCATCAAAGGTCTCTGTCACCCAAGAGTCAAAGTAGGAAACGAGTGGGTCACCAAGGGACAAAATGTGGCCCAGGTGAGATAATATGAAACTTTTGGAGAATTCCAAAATAATTCACTAAACTTTATCAAGGTGTACTTTTATGCATTTCCTTGTTAGGTGAACTATGCTATCGGTGCGCTGTCAAAGGCAGTGTATGAGAAGATGTTTCTGTGGATGGTGGTGAGAATCAACCAGTCCCTGGACACCAAACAGCCTCGCCAGTATTTTATTGGGGTGCTTGACATTGCTGGATTTGAGATCTTTGATGTGAGTTTGGAAAAATAAGTTCTTATAATCTTATAAATGGTTGTCCCTAATGTAAGGATGCATTTTTAATCATGAACATACTGTGGTCCATTTCATTTCAGTTCAACACCTTTGAGCAGCTGTGCATCAACTTCACCAACGAAAAACTGCAACAATTTTTCAACCACCACATGTTTGTACTGGAGCAGGAAGAGTACAAGAAAGAGGGCATCGATTGGGAGTTCATTGATTTTGGTATGGATCTGCAGGCCTGTATCGACCTGATTGAAAAGGTGTGACACTGGACTATATAAAAACATTTCTATTTTTATCCTACTGTTTGTGCATGTTATTCTTAAAACTAAAATGTATGTTAAAATTTTTGTCCTGAAAATTGTTTTTCTTCATTATATTTATCTTAGCCCATGGGTATCATGTCCATCCTTGAAGAGGAGTGCATGTTCCCCAAAGCCAGTGATGCCACCTTTAAAGCTAAGCTCTACGACAACCACCTGGGAAAATCTGGCAACTTCCAGAAGCCCAGAGTTGTCAAAGGAAAACCAGAGGCTCATTTTTCCCTTGTGCACTACGCTGGAACTGTTGATTATAATATCAACAACTGGTTGGTGAAGAACAAGGATCCTCTGAATGAGACTGTTGTTGGTCTTTTCCAGAAGTCTAACCTTAAGCTTTTATCCTTGCTTTTTGCCGGATATGCAGGAGCTGATTCAGGTATGTAGACATCCCATGGTGAAAATTAGAAGCCAATAAAAATTTCCAACAACAACAGTATTGTAATTAATTTTTCTACAGATTTGAAATGCCTTAAAAATCTGTTGTGACCTGTTGCTTCTCTCAATAAAGTTCGACATAATTTTTTTTTTAGCTCAGGAATCTGGTGGGAAGGGCAAAGGTGGAAGCAAGAAGAAAGGTTCTTCCTTCCAAACTGTATCAGCTTTGCACAGGGTAAGAGATGTATACATTTTTATTTTTTAATGTAAAGGAGAGATTGTACTGAGTTATACATCATGACTTCAGCAAGAAATTCTCATTGTTTTGATACAGGTTCAAAACTTTGTTCTGATTTGCCCAGTTTTGAAGTTATAGACACTGAAATTAACCAGGCGACACAAACCCTTTATGGGCTGCATTAGGAAGGTCAACAATCTGACTAAAATTGACTATGGCAACTACT